GAACAAGCCTCCGTTCGTGTTCGTTCGGTTCGTTTACAGCCCTAACGACTACCAGTCATGTTTATGATCTCTAGCTCCGCTATCCTCCAACTTTGAGCAATATTATAAGCATAATCCCTCTAGCCCTTCAGCTTTATTCATATTATCAAATGACCCCTTTAACTCTTGAAAATTACAAACTAAACCCAATTAATATATTTTGATATCAAAAATGTCAAGATTGAATGAATGTCAATACAGAGTTTTGACACAACCATTGTTAAACTACAAGTTTGTATTAATTGAATACATGTGCGCTACAGTGATTAGCTACTCAATCAATCATTTAAACTTAGCACAAATTAAATTATTTAAAAACATTACGTGCTACAAATCGCATTTAATAAACGTAAAAGAATAAAGATTGAAACTTTTTATAACTATGATCTTGTTAAAGAAATTAATTGAACTTAGAATCGAAAGATAGAGACTATTGGCAAGTTGGTCGGTTAATTCAATAAGAAATGGAAGTTAGTACACGATTTTGTTAGTACCATCCAACCAAATCCAATTTCATTGTTTACTTATTCAATTTCCATGAGTGAATTTTCAAGTTCAAGCAACCCATTTTTCAATTGTAAAATGACAAGATCATCCCTAATCATTGTTAACATGTTGTTTGTTTTTTAAGAGATACTGAAATTTGAAGTCTTATTTCACAACTTATTAAGAGGCAGTCCTAAAATCTGAAATCTTAATGAGTAAGACTATTTGTTTCATGCTTCCTTCTAGCACTCCCGTTCTTGTCCCGTTCATCTCTTGATCATTGGCCCACACATAAAAATGCAATAACAACATATCACTTCTCCCAGTTGTTTAGAAAATATGCATGTTTTAGTTATCAACACAACGAACGTTCTACAATGCTATAAATCAGTGCTTTGATATGCAACTGAGCCCTTCGGGCATTTGGCAGACTAGGTAAATTGATAATTTTGGGAATGATTTACTTGTTGTATTTTCATTGATTAGAGGCTATCAAGACTGGTATTTTTATTTCTTCAATGGTGGATTGAAGTCAATGTGAAGATTCGTTCGAGTATGATTTTAATCTGCATATAGACAACTTCTCCCGACTTGGGAAGTAGTGTTCCACCGGAAGAAAGTTACCATACACATTTTGTGCCTTGTAAGAAACTCACATGGATTGATCTAGTGACTTGTGTAATTGCTCAAATGTCGCTTTATTAGCTATATAAATGATGGACTCTCGGTACAAAATTGATGAGTGCTTCCTTAGCATGTTAAATATGGGATTTTGATCAAGGCCTCATTTACATGTGTTTAGCGCTTTCTAGTATGTCGTTCCCTCTTCAATCTTTACATGTTTCGAAATAGAGTAGGTAAATCTTGACTTGTTTTATGTTACTCTTTAAATTTCTCTTGTTAATTGTCATCAAATTGTTTGTGATCTCTTTAAATGTTGTTGATTCTTTGTGTAAATTACTAAGAATCTTACCCGGTAAGAACGAAGACAAGAATCAAGAGTCTTACCCGGTCAGTGAGGGCGACAACTCTTACCATGGTTAGTTAGTACTTACCGGGATAAATTGTTGCATACAATGCGTTTTGGTGAATAAAATATTACCCAATAAGTAAGCGATAGTGTTGAATTTTACCGATAAGCACTTACCGGGTAAGTGTTTAGGTAAACGACCCCTTAGTGTAACTTTGCGATTATGAAGTTATAATCAAAATGTTTAGTGGTGTATAATCACAACAAAACATCGAAATTTTTTTCGTCTACCAATGCTTTTATGATGTAATATTGTGGACTTCTACACGTTGATCCTCAAGGATATGTAGTTATCACACTTGATATCCAATTCTATTTATACTCCTGTATTGGTGATATGTATTTAACACCATCCAGAAATAAAAAAGACATACATTTTATTACATAAACAAGAAAATGGTCCAATTACAAAGTTAAAGTCCACTAGAGCCAATCAGTTTGGTTAGTCCAAAAGTGATGGCCATAGCCATCAACCCTCCAAACAGACCCCTAAAGCAAGGCTTCACCACAGATGTGCCCCCAATCATAGACCCAATCCACCCGAAAACCACAAGTGCGAAGCTCACAGCTGCTACCACCACTCCCAACCTCACCTTATGGTCCCCTATGAAGGAAGCAGCAAGTAAAGGAACAACTGCACCTAGAGAAAATGCAAGACCCGATGCTACAGCTGCCTGAATAGGATTTGGCAGCTGTTCTTTCTCCTTTTCTTCCTGATTTTCTATCATTCTCTTTTCTCTCTTCATTTGAGCCACTTCAACATCTAGCTGAGAATATACGGAAACAAATTCTCCTATTGCCATACTGCATGCACCTGCAACTAGTCCAGCAAATCCCGAGAGAATCATGGCCTTGGCATCTTGTTTAACGGCACCAACACCCATCATCAGAGATGCAACAGTAACCAAGCCATCATTAGCTCCCAAGACAGCTGCACGAAGCCACTGTCCTCTTTGCGAGTAATCAAACTCTTCCTCTGCCGGCAATTGTTTTGGGTGAGGTTGGTCTTCAGGAATTGGAACGCGTAAATCATTTTGATGATTAGTAGCCATAATGGTGATAGAGGAAAGAGAATATATGCACAAAGGATCAAGGGGGTTTAAGAGAAGAAATTGGAACTTGTTTGTGGAGAGACCAGCTTCCAAGTGGAGGATATATATAGAGACTAGAGGAAAAACCTAGGAAAGTTGAAATACTAACAAAATTTGTATATACCGAAACTAATCAGTGTGATAAGCCTTCGATGGTGGGATTTGCATTTAGTAAACTAATCACGATTATCTTTTTATTCGTCTCGTTGTAGAAAACCATATATACTCGTTGGAGGCGTTAAACGTTTTTCTATCCTCTTGTTGACATATCTTCGGTAATTTACCAATAGAAAATCCTAGTGTAAGATTTGCCAACCATACGACTAATAATAGTTTAGGAGATTGTTCAGCATACCATTTCAACTACAACGTTAATTATGCCTTATGCTCAGCTATATATTTTGGCCTCGTGGTTAAGTATTTTAACTACTACCTAATACTACTAGCTTAACATCTCTATGTTTCTGTCTCGCTATTGGGATGGTGGGATATCAGCAAAGGTGAATTGTAGTTTTGAATCACCTTTTGGAGTCTTGGCTCTTCTAGGTGGTGTCGTTCTCCCCAATTAAATGGTACATATTCCACTATATATTCCGATGCGCTAATACACTAGGTCTCTTTAGCATTCGTATAGTTGTGTTAACTTCCTTTATCAATTTAAGACTATGTCTCTTGCAAATCAAGTTATTAACAAGAATGCTACCATGAGAAAATGCTATGGAATGGAGTCATGTTACCGCTTAGCAAGTACCTCTGGAGCTCGAAAAGCAAGGAGTTAGTTTACGGCAAGTAAAAGGACCTAAACAGACATTATGTTAGTATGAGAAGCATAAGAAAATGGCCTAATTCTTGGTGTAACCTAAACGAAACAAAGCAAAATTATGCATGCTTACACTAAATTAAGAAGTCACAATATTAAGGAATTGGCATAAACAGTACCCCCGCAAATGAAGAAGAGAAAACAAAGAAGAACTCCTAAGAAGGTGGAGTGCTGTATGGGATACCACTGGCCGCAAATCAGAGATATTTGGGGATCTTCTATAATATATAAAACTCAAAGGAGTGTGCATTCCACACTAAAGATGCAAGGATTAATTAATAGTGATATAGCCTAAGGACCGTGGAATCTACACGAATTCAGGCCAACCCCACCTTCATAAAGAACTGAAACTGAATTTATTATTTCTATTGGGATGTGATGGTGACTATCGCTACAAAATAAAGGGGCATTTTAATGAGAGTTTTGACAACTTGTCTCGACGATAATCATTTGGTCGAAAAACAAACTTCTGATGGAACCTAAACCATTTTCGACGGATTGTTTCCGTTGAAATATCACTTTTGACGGATATGCAACGGACCTTGGTCAACTATAGTTGATCATTTTGGTTGTATTTTCAACGGATTTTCATGAGATCTTTTTTTCGAGGATTCTGACGGATCACAAATTTTGATTGATTGTCGATGGATATTTGGTTAAGCATAGTTAACAATTTCGACGAATCTTCATGGGATTGTCGATTGAATTCCGTCTGAAATCCTTTGAAATTGCACAGTTATTTTCAAAAAACCATAAACTTGAAAATAAATACATGTATTTTACTGTGTACCTGTGCGTACTTCCACAAATACATAAATCCCAAATAGTCCATCAAGATGGAGAATTGTTTGTTTTGGATGAATTTATGACAGATGTAATAAATTTATATTCGTTAGGCATTTTTGACGGAATCCAAAAAACTAAAGAAAGTATTTTCTTGAACTTCTTTTTTCTTTTCGACCGGTTATTTTTGGATCAATAAACGATCAAAAAGCATCAATAAGTTTTTGGTGTACATACTTGGTTATCTTAATTTTTACTGTAATTCATTGACAATGGTGATATGGAAAAGTATACAGAAAGGAGACGGGTAGAAAGAGAGAGAAATTTCGAGGGATTCAAGTTTCTTAATTCATTAACCAATAAGTCATTACAAGAGATCTGTTTCAAGGGCTGAATCAGGTTATTAACAACCCTTTAGTAATAGTAAATGTAACCTATATATATACTCTTTAACTAACTCCCATAACGGAGGGGTGTATAAGATACCACTCCCAGCTTATTTTGAGAGATTTTCTATGATATATTAAATTGAAAGGAGTGTGCACTCCACACCAGTTGCAAATATCATTAGTTATATAATCTGACCGTGGAATCCACATGACATGATGTAAGACCTTCACTACCTCTATATTTAACCAACGGAAAGTCCTTTATAACCCCAAATTTTATATCTTGAAACACTTTAATTAAGTATTTTGGTGGAATTCGTTTTTATAACTCCAAATTTTATGTCGTTAAAACAAATAAAAAGTAATCTTTGTGATTATTATTTTATTAAGAGTATACTGACTTTTTAAATTTTGATTATTCATTATTTTATTAAATCAAAAACATTATTAGAAATAAAGTAACACATTTATGATGTTGTCAATCTAATAAATCAACATATTTACAAGTATGATATAAGATAAAATTCATATACTAATGATATTTAATTATATAATAAAATCTAAAAATATTCAATAATGGCTTGTTTCGAAGGTATTGAAGAATTAGAAAGTTCTATTATTTTATTTATTTAAAAAATATTCAGAAAATTAACCACTCAAAATGAGAAAGTTCATTGGATTTTAACTGAATTTTCCTCTTCTTTAAATAACTATAAAAATATAAAATGTAAGTGTTAAAATCATGTGAAAATGTTTACGAATTTATAATGATTAATATGTACTTAATTTCCAAAAATAGTCAATATTGGGCTTGTTTTGAAGTTATCTACAAAACTATTCTAATTATGTAACTTGGAGAAAGAAATACACACTTTTTAATGTATTTTAATTAATATTGATTATGTATATTAATATGATAAGAGTGTAAATGAAAAATGACAAACTAAGGTATATATATAAAAAATTAAATAAATAGCTATAAGGGTCAAAAATGTATGTGCTAAAAATAATTTCATAGTATTTATTGTATATAATAATATGATTAAAATTAAAAAAATACTCAATATTGGGTTTGTTTCGAAGGTAATAATGTAATTTGTTAAAAAAAATAAACGTATTTTTAACGTATTTTAGTTAATATATAATTATACGGTAATATATGATAAAGATGTAAAATAGAAAATATAAAAATAAATATAAAGTATGTTAATTAAATAATTATAGGTGTGTAAATTGTAATTTTAAATTTTAAAAATTATCAAGTTGAATTGTTTGTGAGGGGTATGAATGGATATAGGAGTTATGTTTAGCAACCCTTGCAATTCAAATTCTAGGTCCATTCTCAAAACAAAAGGGAAGAAGAACCAGCAGCACACAGTCACTTCATTCGTTCATCAATGGTGCAAAAACCTCACATGATAAACAAGAAAATAACCTTCACTCAACCAATCCTGTGTATTATTCCAATAAAAACAACCTCAAATGAGAACATTAGGAGAAACACAGAGGAGATTACTGAGAGAAGCAAGTAGCATTAACAAGTAAAAAGAAGCAGAAGATTGTCAATGGTGGTGTAGCCCATGCTGCTGAGACATAGACTCCGAAGAATTAAAGGCCACCAATAAAAACGAAAGCAGTTCTTCATAATCCGAGGGGTGACCAAAGAAGGTCTGTCAAACCTTTTGATCATATCATTCTTTTGGCAAAAATTTGAATTGCATTGGTAGGGATCATATATAGATCGATCCATAATTTTTAATACGTTACCCTTATCCTTTCGAGAACGGAAGCAAGATGTCATCGCCTATTTAAAAGTTCTTACTAATGGAAGAATGCATTCCCACAAATCAAATACTTGCAGGAAAACTCATCAACCAAATAAGAAAGTGTTGCAAAAATCCTTCTTTCACGAAGAAAAAGCAAATCTTGAACAGTACAGTTTCTAAACTCGCAATCATAAAATGGTACTCCATTGACACATTTCATCAAGAACCTCGTAGCCATAAGTTTATGTGCTTTTATTTTCATTCCACCACCCTGCAATCTTGTTTTTTCTACAGACAAAATGTTGAATGCAAAAGATGCTAAGCTTTCTATATTTGGATAGGATGTATCAACATCTTTTGCATCAAAAGAAAATTGTCAATGATACTCAGACACCGAGATAGATTCATCCATCTTCATGTGGTGTTGAGTAAATTGACCAAGGATCCACAGCAGAGCAATTCATTATACTGCTCCATTATGGGTTTAGAATCCATCATTTTGTAATAGTTAAAATTACTCGAGAGGAATTTCTTACTCGAAGCATCCTCGGCCATGTATTGCGGTTCCAAAGCATCCTATAATTCCTTGGCAGATTCTACATTGCAGGAAACATCAAATAGGGCATCATACATACCGTTTAAGATATACCCACGACATATGTAGTCGTCGTTCTCAAACTTGTTCCTATGTCTCACCATCTCATCGTCAACGATCTCGCGCATGATTTACGCCCTAGGTTCCACGTTTGCATATAATCATGAATTCCATATGACAAGAGATATGACTTTACATATTCGGTCCCAAAAATAATAAGAGCTACATTATAAAAATAACTACCAAATTTTTCCTTCTCAAATCTCTATACAAAACTTGTAGTCATAAGCAACATGCAGGTACAAGTTACCACACATTATCCCAAATATCCACATGCAGGCAATCATATAATTTTTTTCATAAATTCTCTTTCCCTTACCATTTAACATCTGGTTACATGACCTGTAATGCACAATGTAAAACACCAAAAATGAGAGTTAGACCAAAAGGTCTAGTGAGTGAATTTTCTTCTTGTCTGTTATTACAGGGTGAATAATCACCAAACACGTTTATAAACTCATATTTGTAATAATAAAAAATATACAAACTTTTGATATGACAAACCTCTTTTGTTGTATCTAAAAGATGAGACATTACCAATTTATCGCATCAAGTAACCCAATAACTCATTTAGC